GGAGAGGGGGGTTGCCATTTATTTTCCCCTGGATGGCAGCTTACACACTGGAAGAAAAATGCAAACCAATAGGAGAGCACGTCAGCATGTTCATTTCAAAGTAATCATGCTTACAAAACAAAGCTATGGGAAAACAGAGGAATAAACACAAGACAGGGAAGAGTGAAGCCCAGAGAATGCCTCCGAAGGATAAACAAGAGGAGGCAATAAAACGGCAGTAAAACTCGAGCGAAATGCTATCTTTGACTTTTCCCACTGTGGTCTTTAGCCAGTAGTAATATGTCATGCTTTCATTGTGCTTCTAATCTGATAAAGTTTTATGGTTCCTCCTGCTATTAGTGTCATCCATTGTCATTTGAGGTGACAGGAATGGCAGCTTGTGGCGCTGACCTCTAACGGCGCTCACATTCCCTCGTGGACGGCGGATTGAGTTAAAAGGAGCGCCTTATTCCTGACATCAGAATTTATCTAAAGACGAGGAGGATGGGTGATCAGTGAATCCTGCTGGAGACGAAGGAGAGAGGGGCTGATGTAGTTCCACCACATTTTGTCTCCCCCAAGAGGATTTAGTGTTTTTTTTGTTTTTAACACGCAGAGGACCTCCCTTTCTGAGTCGTTCTGCTTCCCCCCGCCCCTTGCCGCGTTCGGCTTCTCAAAACAAAAGAGAGACCCCACATGTGGTCCTAATGACTCTTTTTCTGTTTCATGAGACCAATTTATTGCATACATTTTATTTTATTTTATTTTTTAGATGGTCTATTTTGCGTCATTAGCTAAAGTCGGGAAGTAAATTTGGTTCTACAATTTAATGTGTGTTTATTTTATTATGACTTCTAACAACAGGAATCCAGCAGTCTTAAATCTAGTTCATATGCTTGGGATTTATGTGTTGTTTAGTTTTTCCATGCTACAGTAATCCATGGAACAAATCTACAAAAGACAATAATTCCACCAACCAAAAGCGTTTAGGCTATAGGAAACCGAAAAGAAAAATGGAACAGGCAGCAGGAAAACAAACTGTACCTCGTGTTACAATAGGAGTTTTATATGCTGCAGAGATAAGCATCGTTGCATACAGCTCACCTCAGTCAATAGACTATTTTGTGTAATCACCTTTCACTGCAATTGCAGCTGCAAGTCATACAGGGCTGCAACTCTGCCAGCTTTGTTACATCTAGAGACTGCAATCTGCCCATTACCATTCAAAAACACTCGAGCCTTCAAGTCTCATCACAAACTCCCAGCTGGATTTAGGTCTGGACCTTTATCAGCCCTTTCTTATACACAAATATGCTTATATTACGTTTAAACAGTTTCAACTCTTTCACAGAACTGCTGTGTTCAGAGATTATTGAAATATTTCAGAAATGTGAGGGTCATATTTGTGGTGCGTCTCCTTCATGGTCGTACACACAGGCTTCTCGACACTCTTCCATTAGGCCAGCAGGCTGAGGTGCATAATTAACAGCTGTCCTTTTAAAGGTTTCTCCCACCAGGCCATTAGATCTCTGCTGCTCTTGCAGAGTGACTATGACCCATTTTGCTGCTCTTCTGATCAAGCATGTCAGAGGACCATGGAGTTCATAATATCATGAAAAATGTATGACAGTGATTCTGTTGCTGATATGGCAGGACTAAGTACTACTCCACTGAAAAGCCTCTTTACAATTAAGTAAATATGAATTCATCTCTTTCCCCCTGCGCTTAACTAGTTAACTTGGTCTTATCAGAAAGCACGCTACAACTTGCTTGTCCCAAAACTGTTATTTATAACTTTAGAGCAATCCAGCTCCCATAGGTGAATCTGTTTAATAATTAGAGCCTGAAACCTAAAGCTGATGCATACCGTTTTCCTTCAAGAAGTTTTCTTTTTATCTAAAGTTTTGCTCATGCAAAATCCAAATTCCTCAATATAAACATTTTCCGAGATGTTACATTTAAAAAGCACATCCAACATGTATCTGTGCAGATTTCTATTTATTGTGTCTTTCAAGACAAAAAAAAAAATCTAAAGGCAGAAACTCAAACTCTCTAATTGAATTATTTGTATGTGCTTTTAATGGCACCATGACTCAGAGTGGGATGGTTTGTTGAGATGAGCAGCATTGATTTTCCAAAATACAATGTTTTGAATAGCACCAAAACATTCAACTTGTGTGTCATCTGACCAGAGCATCTTGTTTCATACGTTTACTCTGCTCATGATTTGCTGCAAACTCAGATTTTTTTTTTTTTTTTTATTGTTTTCTGTCAATTCTGGCTTTGTTCCAGGCAATCTTTCATGGCAATTTGCACTGAATTGTATTTACAATTATCAGAGCAAGAGTACAAATGGCATAACCAAAATTTTCAGACTTTGATTTCCAAAAATATAAAAAACTATTGTTATTCTAAAGTACCTTTTGTTCTCACAGAAGCTGTGGCGAAGCAAAGTTTGTGGTTGGAACATGACAAAATGTAAATATTTTTGCAAGGCCGTGCGTACTAGTCAAGCGTGAGATCACCATCGACTGCGTGAACATCAGCTGTTTTCAGGGGCTTTCATGGTCATTTACCACGCTGACCCTAAAGGTGAGAGTGCGCTGTGTTTTCAGCTGTTTTGCATCACAGATAATGAGATGCTCCCCGAACCAGGCAGCCACTTCTAGTCTGGAATTGATCAATGAGACCTCCCTTTCTTTGACCCTTATCTGGTGTTGGGCTTTTCATTGTTGCTCTACATCTGGAAGAAAGATCATGTCTTTTGTGTGGAGGTTTGGATGAAGACGTGACCGGACTCTAATGTCTGGTGTGTTACTGCCAAGCCACCGTAGTTGCTCACTTCCTTGAGAAGAAGTTTCCATCTGGGGAGAAAAAAAAAAAAAAAAAACAGCCATTGATGTCTGACATGCCACAATTTGGTGATATATGAACTATGAGACAGGGAATTCGAGTTGAAGAATGCGCTACTTGTGTTTCCCTCTAGCTCATGTGATAATACAAAAATATGTACAAGTTATTACCTTACCTAATCAGCTGAGGCCCTTCTGTCCTCTCAGTGACTGATATAATTTACATTAGCTCTAACAGTGTGAGTTTTTAAGACCAAGGGGTTTTTATCAGAAGGTTGCCAGAGGGCAGTTTTAAAATCCCGACAGCGCTGCTGTGAAATGGTCCGCTGTGTCATTGATATGTCCCAAGTGAGGGATAATGACAGTCAATGTGTTTCCATCAACACAGCTATTAAGTTAATTAGTAGTTAATCTTTCTATCGAGCTATATTGGCTGGAAAAGCTAAAGTTTATGTCACTGGATATTAATTGGTACAGTTCATTTCTCAACAAATGAAAGGGGAATGTTAATCTACAGTGTAAAACTACTTTTCCTTATGTGCTCCATTAAAAAGTAAAGTGCTTTTAAGAGAACAAACAGCGAAAAACTACTCCCGACTACAAATAATGATCATATTAATAACACATATGCTTCAGGCCCGGTGGGAAGCCTGGGCACGTCTGCTTCTGCAGCTCCCATCTTCTGCAATGACCCCGTTAAGCCTTGTAAATTGAGGACCATGAATATCAGTAATTAGCTTTCTTGCTTTAACAGCATTTGTGATCACCGCATTCATCTCGCATCCAGTGCCCGCTGGCAAAAACAAAAAGGCTCACTAGGCTAAATTTTCCAAAGATGTCTGGGTTCTGTTTCTGTAATAAAATGTAATTTGTTGTCGTGCCTCGTTAAAGTCCAAATAAAAGCCAGAATATTTTGTTCCCGGGGAAATAAAGGTGCTTGCTGTGCAGCACACTGGACCTGGATATGACTCATAAAACACAGTGGTGCATGTGATTATAGATTTATACGAAGCCTGGATGTTGCTATTGTTGATTATGTGTGTTGTGTGTCAAGCTGTTAAAACACTGATTGCACTATGCCCTTTGTAGGCATATATCTATCTTTACTTTATAAGGACACAGACGTAGGTTTGAGAATATAAGTGTATTTGCCCTTGGATGTGCAGTTGCTCTTGAGGTTTGTCAACCTCCACTGCAAATTTGGTTTTGTTTGGCAAAAACTTGCAGATGTTTCCAATAAACAAAAAAAGATAACTTAAATAGCTCAGCACAACTAATATTACAAGTGATCTCTATAAATTGAACTGAAAACGACCCTTTTTAATGAAAACTACAGTCTTAAAATTAGTCAATCTCTTAATGATGAACATTTCTTGTAGTTTTTTAGTAGCAGTGTGCCGTTACCTGCTGCAATGTGATTCAGTGTAACAAAGCTTCTGACACTGTAGCAAGGAGAACATAATATTAATATTATATGAAAAGTTATTTTGAAAGGCTTGAATAATATTGAGAATGTAGTAGTCGTTGGAACTAAGATTCTATATAGAATTTGAATACAATCCTTGTAACAGTTCTATGGTCTTGTGTAATTAGTTTACTGCGAGCTCACATAAATCTTGCCACAATTTAAAGCAACTATTTCCCATAAAAATATTCAGCCTCCATTTCAACGGTGTTGAAAGATTTTTGCTGCAAGTGTACGTCTATTACACTTACAGACAAGAAATTTCCATGGCTTTGAGGCCACCAAGTTTCCATTTAAAGTTAATTTTAAGCTCCAAGACAGATGTTTATTTGGTGCTGTGAAGTATAAGTGACCCTTAAGGGTCAAAGTAAGAACTGAGCTCAAATTCTAACATAGTTGAGGTGTTTTATCAGTCTCATGAAGTTTAAAAAACACATTAGTGGTTTTGAAAGGATGTACCAATTTGCTACAAATTACACACTATTTTCCTCGAGCATGCCATCTGTTTGAGATCAGAGCTCACATAAATAATCTTTCATTATGACAAATTGCATATAAATTGTAGGGTTTATGAAGCATGGAATTTCAGAAATCAAACTGTAATGTAAGATCTAGCTTCTCAGCAGGGACATTTCATATGCAGTAGTTAGTGAAATAAGGACAAAAATGTTAATAAAGATGAACAATGGGCTTTACATAAAGTCTTCATTAAAACATGCATTATGTGTCATATTCCTAAATCTATATTCACTTTCTATTGCCAGGTTTAAAATATATATATATATATTTAACAAATTAGAAGTTACAGAAAGAAAGAAAAAAAAGAAAGCCAAGGAAAGACCTCTTACTGCACAAACAACTTAATCTGTATAATAAGCAAGAGTTTCAAAATTTAAAAACAGTTACACTAAAATCAGATTCATTTGTATTATTTTGCAAACCAGTATATGTTGCAAGCCAATATATGCTGGTGTGGGTTTCAACTCACTTAAATATAAAATGTATCTAAACCATACAGAAAATGAATATTTAGCGATTACTGGCCAGTCAGTTAATAAGCAGTCTCTTCTGGTAAGAGCTAAAATCCCAGATGTTGTAATATTAATAGCTAATGTAAAAAGAATACCGTAAAATCATGTTCTGACCCAGAAATCTTTAAGAAAAATAGCACAAGCAAAAATACTTAAATTACAACAAAGAAAATTAAAGCCCGACAGCATTACACAACAAATTCATACACAGCGAGTCTTAGTTCTCAGACATCTGCTCAGTCAATGAGCCTGAATAAATTTGTCTCATTAGGCCCCCTTTCACACACTGAAAAAAAAAAACAGAGGTTTTACCAATTCATTTTTATTGGATTACCTAAATGGGGCTGCATTTCACTGTTGCATGAAAAATAACACTGATGTAAAAATTCTAAACTTCAGCACAACTGCCGACATCATTTTTACCCCCCATTCATCAGCACTACCCCCACCCCGTGTAACCGGTTCTTCAGTCTCGGCCACAAGGATGGTTTTCCAATTAGGTCCAGAGTGCAGCAATCTTATTTATATTCATAGTTGGTATAAATGACAGAGGAGTGATAATAATGATCATGATATGAGCAGAGAAAAACAATTACCGTCACCACCATCATAAATAGATGTTGCAAAATTCTCTATCATTACAAAGAAATGCCACAAAATACTCTGTACACAGCCGACACCAGGCAGACAGAGGGGAAAATGGGAGATATGGTATGGCAGAAGCAATTTTTTTTTCTTGATTTAATGAAAGAACTGTTTGCCAACTTTTTCCAAAAAGCCATTCAGCATGTACTTCAGATGAGTGGCGATGCAGATGTGTTTTTGGCTCCAAACACTGATCAGTCTTTTAGTGGTTTGACTAAAATTGACTTTCTTGCAGCAGTTTCAAATAGTCTGCAAACGTCAATGGAAAACCGAGGTATGGCATGCTAACAATTACTTTAATCTGTGAAAAAGTTTGCTATAATCTTTGCCCCGACCCAGCGTTTTGCACTTTTGACAAACAATACTAGAGACCTTGTGCACAAATGTGAACGGTATTGCTTCCATGCACCCGACCACCCTTAAGCCTGCTCACGCACTCATGTCTGCTGCAGCGCTTGGGTGTGTACGTGGAAAACAAGGAGTGCAGAGTTAAGAGGGTATGATTTATAGTGCACTGCAGGTTATAACTCATTTCAGAGTGAATTTCCAGCCTGTGTGATTGCATCCTTTCCTAATGCCCTTGACGAAATGTGAAGCACAACCGATGATCCATGTCTAAAGACAGACATTTTTTGGGTGTGACTTTTGAATCTTTGCTTATAAATTACCCAGTTACAAGGCGAGTAAATTGTCCCATGAAGACAATAATTCTTACATTACAGAAAAAGCCTGCAAATGATTTAGGCCTATTACTGGATATGATACCATCAAATTTATCAATGAATCAGAAAATGGAATGGCTGGATGATGATCCAGTGAATCAAGAAGCAATGCCTGCTTGTCATTTTTGATCTTTTAACAGCCTTTTAACAGACAGATTAGATTTTACAAGGGATAATGACCCTTCTGAAACTCAGAAGCATGAAGACAAAAAGAAATGTCCCTTTAACAGCCTGCAGTGGTTACAAATGGAGGAAAGTCCTATCAAAATATGTAATAGGGATCATTTTTATTAATTCACCTTCTATATTTTTACTTTCTAAATAATTATAAATAAAAAAAAAACACTACAAAAACATGCAAGTCTATTTTGAATTTATTATACATGAGACCTGCAGCACCTATCAGAATATGAGAATATCACACAGGACATATGATGACTAAATTTGTTATCACATGGCCCACATAGTCAAGTCAAAAGTACTGACACACCAAGTAATTAAAAATGATTAAAAAAGATAAAACCCAAGGGGGAAAAAAAGTACTTTTTTGCAAGAAAGGGATCTTATTATTCATCGTAGATCCAAAACTTAAAAAAGAAATTTGCACGTGCTGTATTAAACGAAAGACATTTCGTTTTCAGATTCTTTTGGGTTCGATTGAACAAATTTATTCTCAGCTATAAAAACAGGATTTCTTTCAAAATGGATGCTATGGTTAGTCATGTCTAATAAATCAAAGGAAAGCTGACTTGGGTGTAGCGAAGTCAGCTTTTCAGCAAAAGGTCTCTGGAAAAACAAGGCACTACTTATTACAAAAAGTCAGAAATAAGTTTACCCTGATAAATAAAAGGTCTCCATCTGGATCAAGTACCTGTACTGTATGTGTCAAATTTGTATAATTTGACACATCCAGTACACATCCAATTTGACAAATGGTCCCCGAGTCGCACTTTGGCCTCCCTGCCTTAAACCATCCACCTGATGTATAGGTGTAGTTGCTGAAATGCTATAAAACGCTAAAGCTCATGGACTGGGAAAATGAGAGTTAACTATAATTAATATCCTTTTTGCAAGTTTCAGCAGTAATGTTTTACCATCAAATATTGTTTCCTGATATTATGCAAGTCTACAAATGTACAACATTATGGCCATCAAAACTTTATGGAAAAGAGCTGGACAAAAAAAAAGACATTGTTGAAAGAAAACCACGCTTCCAGAAGCAATGTAGGGGATGCCGCATTTATGAAAGACTGAAAACTGTAGGTCAGAATTTGCATCTAAAGTGAGTATTTCTGATAAGATAACTCTTCCCCTGGCTTTTAAGGCTCTTACGATTGCTATAAAGGCTGATGATGTTCCAACAGATATATAGTTCATGAAGGACACACACACAAGTATCATGGATTGACTCTCTGAAATTATCACACACACATTAACACATACAGAGCATGGCACTCCATGAATCAGCTGTATGTCTACTTTCTCAGGGAAGTTCAGAGAGGGTGGTCTTGTGAGACTCCAATTGAAAAGCCTAATGTCCAACTATTGATTTTCCCTTCTTTAAATTGTAGCTTATTTATAGCTATGACCATACTGTTTTTTTTTTTTTTCCCTGAAAGAGAGAAACAAATAAAAAGTCAGTCCAAGAAGAAAAGCAACAGGCTAGCAAGCTGGCCGAATGTGCACAACACCAGCAGGTGGAGAGACAATAAGGAAGACAAACAGCTGCGGGGGAAGGAGACAAACATGGAGAGGAAAGCAATGCTTCAGTCTCGTCTTCATAAGATACGCTCACTTCCTCAACACACCCCCCCACAGCAGGAGATGCCTTGCTTCCTCTTTCAATTTAAAGCTTCTGGAACAAATAAACTCAAGGGGATGTGCCCGGATCCTCTGAGGCTTTGTGATCAAGGTTTAGTCAAATCTTACATCTTGCAGTAATAACACAGTGATCAGAGCCTGTTGGTCTCTTGCTTTATTAAAGAAAAAACCCCACAAAACTTAGCAGTCTTTAATCAACTTTTACTTTCCTGTTCAACAGAATGCTCTTTCATTGCTGCAGCTCAAATCTTCTTTTATTAAAAATGTGTTAGTCGCCTCAGCATGTAACCTGTCTGAAGGCTCACTTTGCATGTTGTGTTAGGCTGTCTCACATAGTGTTTGCTCATTTATCGATGATTTAACAGTTTTTAGCTATGTCTGTTCTATGTTACAGAAGGTCAAATGTCTTGCTCAGAAGATGCCATCAAGAAAAATGGCTGTATGTTGTTTTGTGAAGTCGTGGGGAATTTTAGAACCTTGTTTGTTAGGAAACTGTAATGTTACCCTTCTAATCCTAGCTTTAAAAATAAGTCTGACAGACAAAAATAGCATTACTTTTTGCACATAAGACTCTTTACTGCAGTGCAACCAGACTTTTGTCATCAGCAATTTTCTACCTCAAGATACCGTGTTATAATATCTGACAATCCTGACCCTTTCCAGTAGCAGGCAATAAATATTATACAGATATCAAAAAGGAAATAAATGTGAAGCTGGAAACTAGCTGAAAACTATTTCACTGCAGCTAAAGGAGTCTGTTTGTAAAGCACAGATAAAGAAACAAGATTCGGAGAGCTTATAGAAGAGATGGCATAGTTTTATACTGACCGCCAACTTTCTTGTACGTTCTTGGGCGATGCTTGGAACATGGTGAGCTGCACTTGTGACATGGGTGAAAAGCTGACTACCAAAACATTTGGGGGAGTTGAAATGACTGCTAAAAGCTTGTCATGGAACTTGTAATGCGCCTATCAATCTTGTATGGTATTTAATGTGAATGGAACCTGAGAGCTGAAAGCTTTTAGAAGTGTCAGAGAATGAGTTACACTTTGATTTCTAGTATAAAGAGTGAATATTACCATATTTAGAGCCCCTCCTCCCCCCAAAAAAACTGACATTGTGAAACTATGAAACATAAATAAATCAAAGTCAGCCTTTCCATTGTCTAAAAAGCATATGCATTTCTTGAAAGCTCACTTTGAAGATACAACAAAAGTCTTGAATCCACATTCTCTGAAAGAGAAAAGGATTACATATAGATAATGAAGCGTTATCTCACGCGAGCAAGTGACTTGTACGCTAAATAAAAAAAAATATTTACAACACAAAGGTTTTGAATATGTATTGGCAACACAGTAGAATTGTGGACTGAGCACTCTTATTTTCTTCAAAGTTCCTGTGATGCAAGAAAAATGAGTGAGGTTCATAAAAAATAAAAAGGTGAAAGAGGCAGATTTCTCCTCACCCACCAATTAAACTGTCTCTGTTGAAAACTTGTATGCTCCAGGTTTAAGAAACAATTGGAAAGTTGGTTTCAAGGAAAGTAGCCCAAGGCTGAATGATGAGGACAAAATACAGTACATGCAATGTTTTGAAGAAAAATTGTAGCAGTCAGAATTTTTTTTATTTTTTAAGCATGGTTTCAACTGGGATTATGTTTTTGAATTTCAGAATCTTTGCACAGAAGAAAGATTATATTTCTTCTAGTCTCAGCATGCTACAGGACTTTGGCTCAGCTGAAAATGAAGGGTTGTCAGTTTGATCCCATCATATGTTGGCATAAGAACTAGAGAAGAACTTACAATGAGTAGTTGATACTCTTGCCAGAAATTTAGCTTTCTGAATTACAGTTTTGGTCACGGCTAGTCATTCACCACTGTGACAAATTATAGGTAGACTGGGCATTTGATGTTACACTTTTACCTACCTGGGCAGCGGACCGGTATGTTAAGTCTCCAGGTTACTGATCCCAGACTACATTTCTCCTTTCACAACCACCTTGGTACCTCACACTTCAGCTGCATCTTTGCTAACACTACATCCATTTTTGGACAACCAGAGTGACTTTCCTGCTTTAAGAGCAGCTTTTTGCTCAGTTTCTTTCTCTCAGGCTTTTTTACATATTTCTAACCTTCTGACATGAAAATGATCAAATTATCAATAATTATCAAATGCCTAAACACCAATGAAAAAGAAAGTTCAGCACATCATAGACAGATTAGATATTACAAGGGATCATAAGGCTTCTGAACTCAGAACCATAAAGACAAAAAATATTGTATTTTTTTATATAATATTTCTGACCTTGGTCTGTCAGACCTTCATCTTTTCACCATTACAACTTTGCTCAGTTACAGTAACGTATAATCATCTTTCTTGAAGATTTTACATTTTGTACCATCACAACCATATTTTGTGATATAAAAGTTCAGTCCTTTGAGCATTTTTTGGGACATTTTTAGCTGCTTCCATTCACTGTTACTAAGTATTACTGAACCATTGCACAGCTAGCCAATGTGGAAACTTTTGGTGCTTGGAAAAAAAAAATTAACAGCTATTGTCAAAACTACCACTGTTCAGAACTAGAGAAGAAATTGTAATGTCTAATTTAAACTCTTGCCAGAATTTTAACCTTCTGAGTAACAGTTTTTCTGTCACATATAATCACTTACCACTGTGGCAAATTACAGGTTCACCTTTAGGTTCCTAGGACGTCCGTCTCTGAGATACTGCTCCCAGACTGCATTTCTCCTAAAAATAAAAATAAACAACATGAAAATAAAAATAGCCATCTTATCCCTCAAGATCTATGAAAAAGAAAATGTGGAAAAAAACGATATAAGTGCCTTTTAGTGTGCCAATTGTTTATTCTATCCATGTATTTGAACATGGTATCTCCTGTCACATTCACCGTATTTAGCAAGGTGAGTCACTACAACGGGTGACAGTCCAAGTTCAACGCTTAGAAGGTGTGATAAAGTACAGGAACCTCTAAAACGCACATCAACTCATTTTCAACAACAGCTGGACCTCTGTCAGTGTTACCTGCTACTTTCCATTTTCATTTCTGGGGCACAATCCTGCTTACATTTATTGCCATGTATAAAGCTAGATGCATCATTAGTCACTTCACTATGTAATGAATGATTTTTCTGTTTTCACAAAAAATTACATCATGTCCCTGTACAGTTTCTACCCATTTTTGTTCACTTGTTTATTTTTTAAGTAATTTGGCCGAAAAGGTCAACCACTGAATGTTCCTACAGTGCAACTCAGCACAGGTGTCTAAAAATCCCCTTGAAAGGCATGTTTACACAATTGTGAAACGCATAAGACATTTTGACCTGCTGTGAGCGCCTGGGTGTCACAATATTACAAGTTCGTGTTCCAAAGCAAACAAATTTTACCTGCTGACGCCAAGGCTAACACCCAAGGTCTTCCATCACTGCATGGCGGGTTGCTGCCTTGCTGCACTGTATGTGTGGGATTTTGGACCCCGATGCTTGACACTGTGCGAGTGTGTGTTTTCACAAGAGAAAACTGAAACAGAGAGAAATGAAGAAATTTCTGTGAGGTGTTACAGGGAGTAAAGTGAGACAGCATGCGGCGCCGTTTTCAGAGAGGGAGAGAGAATGACATTTCTGCTGAGCAGTGGTCACCCGTGGTAGCCGATGGAGATGCACATGTGACAGAAATGCTGACCCCTTTGGTCTATGTAGCCACCAATCTGCTGACATCTCAGATTCTGCAGGTTTCTTGCAAATTCGAGACCTGTATTTCCAGCGCTCAAGGCGACAAGTCATTAACCTCATCATGCATGTTTAGACAGCAAATAAGAACAAAAAGACTTCTGCACCATTACAGTCCAGTGCCGTGAAGGACCTCTGCAGAGCAATCCAGATTTCGTGGTACTTAAAACTGGCTCAGCTGCTTGGTAGCATGCTAAATCTGAGGATCTCAGAGGGAAAGCTGGCTAATTCATCCAACATCACTATGAGCCCCTCTACCCTGCAAAGAATATTAATCAGTGTATGTTCCCAGTTTTCAAGCTGGCACACAGTCTAAACAGATGATGGATGAAGCACCAACTGGGCTATCTCACCCCACTCTTCTCTCCCTTGCCTCTGCTTCCGCCAGATATGAGCCAGTGAATTATTTTTGGACTAATTCTGCTTTATCGTCACTTAAACTTTAAAATAGTTCTCGTTACAGTTTTATTGTGTTTAAGAATAATGACGTATGGTTTTTGAAAAGCCCTTAATAGCCCATTACAGAGCTACACCAAAAGTTTTTTTCTTTAAGTGTGATAGACAGTAGGGCTTTTTTGTGCAAAATTAAAGATGTTTGTACATCTTTAATTTATGTCAAACACCTTGCGCGCTTTTTTAATATGTGTGACACATTGGTGCTGTGTTGTGAACTGGGACAGTTCCTTTCTCCCCAAGATTATTGAGTTTCCCTCATAAAACATATTTTAATGATTTGATGTTTGGCAAACATATCTTGTTAGGTTTCTTAGAAGTTCTAACTTAATAACATCGAGATGTTTACATTTATTGGATTTTTTTTTGTACACAACTATTTGAAAATTATGATGGCAAATAATGGAGTAGTGGTCACCCGTGGCAGCCGATGGAGATGCACATGTGACAGAAATGCTGACCCCTTTGGTCAATGCAGCCACCAATCTGCTGACATCTCAGATTCTGCAGGTTTCTTGCAAATTCAAGACCTGCATTTCCAGCGCTCAAGGCTCTCCTAGCTTAACTTTAGTATCTAATCATGTCAGATGCTCCAAGCACAAATTTCTAAAATGTTGCTTGTTCCGTCACTGGCTTACCACAAAACATGTCTGCCTCTGCTACTGGAACGTTTTCTGTACTTATTTTTTAAATTAATGAAGACATTTCTAGGAACGAGTGCGTGTTTAAGACAAACTATTTTAGAAAGGAAAATTATAGATTGGAAAAGCTGTACTTTCATTTTGTAAAGTCTTAAAACTCTGTGTGTACCTAACAATTCTAATATGCATAAAAGAAACAGAGTGGGTTTCATCTCATCTCATTCACTGCTAATTGTGGCGGAACCTTGCTTCTCAGGTAAAATGTTGGAAATTTGATGAGCATCAAGTATTGATTTAAAGGTGAAAGTAATTTAAAAGAAAGAGGAAAATTTCAGTTTTAGGCATTCTATGCAGGAGGTCAATGCAGTCTTTGTGGCAAGCTTTATGATTAAATGCAGGAATTTAATAATGCATTACTTTTAAAAAGTATTATTTCTTGAATCAAATATAAGAATCATTCAAGGGAGAAACATAATTAACAGAACTTTTTTTTTTCTTTAAAAGATTGGATGCGAAAAAAAAAGTTGTAGTCTTTTGTTTTACTTTAATCTTAGTCTGCCTGCTCACCGTCAGTCTTCATTTCTCTCCTCTCCCTACGTTCCTGCAACCTGATTACTTTCAGAGCTCTGATAAGAGACTCCTGATTTTATAAAGCAGGCAAAGAAGGACTAAAGGCAAAAAAGGAAGCCCTTCATTGCCGCCTGACCTTTTGCTGCACAGAGTGCGTTTCACCGTGCCTCATTTCAGCTGTGGTCACATTAGGGACAGCACTTTATTCTGACATGTGGAATTCTTCACACACAGACACAAATGCACATTCCATGGTCTGCATGGTGGTTATTAGTTTGGCATGGGGAGCCAGAATGACATCATGATGCAAGACGGTGGTAAACAGCCCTGATTGGTGGACAGCTGAGCCTGCCAGGAGAGTGGTTGTCTGTGTTGGTGGTCCACGGTCTACTGCTAAAATCCTTCCTAACGGTGACGAAGCTGAGTAAGTGAGGCCCCCTGAGGTTAAACGAGCTTGTGCAGGACCGCTGGGACTGATTAGACCATGTGGGTTTGTTCTGTTTGTTTGAAAAGAATTACCTTGCATCTTTTTTCATTTAAAAGCATTGTCTTGTAAGGGTTGACATGTGTCATAAATATGTGTTCCGGAGATTTTCGGTTGGCTTAACTGGGATTAAAGCGTTTGCTGCTCTTATTTAAATAAAGGGTTAATGTGTTCGTCTTGTTTTGTGTTGGGTAATCAGAATACTGCACTGCAATATTTAGATACGTCAAAGCAGGATTTTATTTTTGTGTGGCGTTTTATTGCATTGTCAGTTTTACAAGCCTTGCCTACAACATTGTCTGGACAAAGGCCGGCAAAGGTGGGAAAACAAAGTAGAAAAACGGTGTACTGCTCAGGGAATGAACACTGTAACACTATATTCATACACTCCTGAAGATTTTACATATTTAAGTATTTTCACCTTTCATCTAGTGTGATGTGCAAACATAAACAATCCCAGCTGCTAAATGTTCAGCTGATATTGCCATCATCACGGTGACTTAGACCAGAGCCTCAGAACATACAGATTCAACGATTTTGCCCTTCTGGTAAACCCTAATTAATTAAAGCCAGGAAGAAAATGTTCTTCAACTTGGAAATTTAACTTAATCATTAAGCCGACTAGTAACCCTAAGAAATCTCTTCAGACATCTTCAACTATATCTTGAGAACATCTCCAGACGTCTCTTGATCTCTAAAGCCAACATGACAAAGAGTTATCTCTCTCTGGAGTCACATATTTTTTTTCTTTTTACCATCAGCAGTGATGACTTTATGAGCTTCTTTTCAAATAAAACTGCTTCTATTAAAGAGAAGATTTATGGCATTCTTTCGAATAATGTTGCTGCTATTCCATCAGATGTGGTAGGTTTAATAATAGCTTCTGAACCTGATTTCCCTTTAGACCATTTCAGTCCTGAACAGAAACAGCAGCAGCAGGAGGAAGAGTTCGCAAGAAATGTACAATTTGTGAACTTCTGAAAATCCACCAGCCCAGTAGAACTTTACTGTCTGCTGGTCAGTATTTACTGGAGGTACCTCGCTCAAAGTGCAAACAATGAGGGGACCAGTCTTTTTCTGTTGCA